AGATGAAGACCGCATCTTAGAAGTCACATCCTAGATGAAGACCGCATCTAAGGAAGAAGGAGAGATGAAGACCGCATCTTAGAAGTCACATCCTAGATGAAGACCACATCTGAGGAAGAAGGAGAGATGAAGACCGCATCTTAGAAGTCACATCCTAGATGAAGACCACATCTGAGGAAGAAGGAGAGATGAAGACCGCATCTCGCAAAGGATAAGATGAAGACCGCATCTTAGAAGTCCCATCCTAGATGAAGACCACATCTGAGGAAGAAGGAGAGATGAAGACCGCATCTCGCAAAGGATAAGATGAAGACCGCATCTCGCAAAGGATAAGATGAAGACCGCATCTTAGAAGTCACGTCCTAGATGAAGACCACATCTGAGGAAGTAGGAGAGATGAAGACCGCATCTCGAAAAGGATAAGATGAAGACCGCATCTTAGAAGTCACGTCCTATATGAAGACCACATCTGAGGAAGTAGGAGAGATGAAGACTGCATCTCGCAAAGGGTAAGATGAAGACCACATCTTAGAAGTCACATCTTAGATGAAGACCACATCTGAGGAAGAAGGAGAGATGAAGACCGCATCTCACAAAAGATAAGATGAAGACCGCATCTTAGAAATCACATCCTAGATGAAGACCGCATCTTGCAAAAGAAAAGATGAAGAATGCAACTTTCACTAATAAATTGTTTTCAAAGCTTAAAAAATTGGGTTATTCTTTTATTCTTTACTTTTCTTTTTTACAAAAAAAAAAGTAAAGAGGGGGCAACTGTCATAACCCAATTTTTTCTGAGGAGCTAAATGCTAAAATCAAAAGTCAATGGACTGTTTTTGTAAAGTTGGAAACTTGAAGGGGTTAAGATCTCTCTCTACCGCACCCCCTCTCTCATCAACTCCAGCATGATGCCAAGAAGATTTCTTTGAAGATAAGCTCAACCAATTGAAGGATTTGGATAAAGATGGACAAACCATAAGTCATCAACTCCAAGGAGTCCGAAATTGATTCAAGGTGGGAGTCCCAATGCATAGAAGGTATGAATCTAGACTAGAAAAGGGGTAGATGTGGGAACAACTAAGAAATCCCATTCCAAATAGGATTGAGTTGTTATCTTAGGGATTGAGATTTGAGTATTAGAAGCACATTAGGATTGGGTTTTCCTTTGGTCTATAAAAAGGGGGGGCCTTCGGCTTCTAATTTGGAGATTGGAAATTGGAGGAAGGGGAGATTGGAAAATTGGGGAAACAAATCCGGAAAGAGCGGAAGAAAATTGGTGAAGCCCGGAAGGAATATAGGAGAGATCAAGAGTGAGAAAGGCAAATCAGAAAATTGTACTTGGACTTCAAGAAATAAGGTGTTGATTTTCCTATTTTTTGCAGGTGTGCATCATTCCTAATTTTTTTTTTTCTTCTACGTTGCCTTCCTATTGTATTCTGTTATTTCTCCTTTTCTTTTGCTTTTGGTGATTGCTTGATTCCCCTTTTAAGCTGCATCTTTCCATGTTTGCTGAAATTAATCTTGATCGAAGAAAAATGTTTATAGATCGGGATATATTAATTGTTGGGAATGATGCAGAATCTTTTTGGGAGAGTCCGTTTTGTTTTTGTTTTGTTTACCCATAAAGCATTTTTTCGGAGATATTAGATGCATCAGGTATAAAAAAAAAGTAAAAGGAACTTTCTTGATAGTTGGGTTTAAAACAATTAGGAAAAGCAAGCAGAAAAGAAAAAAAAAAAGAAACGGAAAAAAATGATAGAAAACAAAAGTCGAAAAAAAACAATAATTTGTTTTGAGGGGTTTTGATTGAATTTTTTTTTGTTTACTTTTCTTGATATTATTGTTTATTTTTTATAAAAATTGAAAAGCTTCCCAAAATTAAAGTATGTGGTAACCATATTTATATGGAAGTTTGTGGGGTACCTAACACGTTCCCCACGCTTAACTGACCCTCCGAGTCTAGTTAATTTCTACGAAGACCTTGGTGATCTATCCCACCTCATTTGGATAGATGGCGACTCCATCCATTTTGGCACGTCAACAAGTGAGAATAAAAATGTAATTGGGCAGCCTATCCATGTTGATTCCATTAATGATTGCAAGGGAGTGGTGTATTCATATCTTTCAGGGAAAATGCCGGAGGAGGATGCAAATAATGCGTTCCGAATTTTATCTTCCAGCAAAGTTAACAAGGGTAGAGTCTTTTGCTTTTCTTTTTGTTTTTTCAACTTTACATCTTGTTATTGCTTCTTCTTTTTTTTTTTTCTTTTTTTTTTTGTTTCCCTCTTCTGCTGAACTGATTTTTTTTTTTGTTTCCCTCTTCTGCTGAACTGATTCTTCATAGTTGTCCCATCATTTTTTGAGTATGAACTTGCCTATTATCTGCCAGTTTGCTTTTCTTCTTTTTCCCTCTTGCTTGCAGATCCCTTCGAAAATTCTTTATGTTCATCAGTGATTGTACTTATAATGGCATAATCATCTCTTTGCAGTCTGCCCTATAGAATTCAAGCAGCCTTTAGAAGTAATTAAAGCATGCCGTAATATAGGTGCTCCAAGTCCTTCCTCCTGTTGCTCATCAAACACTTATATTGCGGGGATACAAAAGCAGATGTTAATTACAAACAAACAAGCAATTACCTGTGCGATGGAATTTGGGTCTATGTTACGAAGAGGTGGAGTCATGACAAATGTTTGTGAGCATTGCGATGTTGACTTGAAGGATTTTAGCATTCAAGGTATGAAATCCTGTTTTTCTGTTATTCTTCTAGTCTATTTGCTTGTTTTCTTCTTCTATTTATCTATTATTGGTTTCCCTTCTTTTTCCTCTTTTTGGACTTATTCATGGGCACTGGTTATTTTGATATCTCTCTCTGCATTAAGGGAAAATTTTTGTATTCTTTTTGCTTTTCTGGAATGATGCATATTTTGCTGTTGATTAATATATGTAATGTACAAATATGCAAGGTGTCTACTACGAAGTTTGCCTGCAGATGTGATACTTGACAATTTAACAGGCTTTTACAGCTTTACATGTAACTTAACTGACAACATTGCAGCTCCATGGCCTGCTTCATCCTTAATGTCATCCTTAACTTTATGGGCTCCAGGAAACTGTTTTTAAAAGTAATGATTTTATACATTGTTACATTTGCTTATACATAGATCATAGATGGGATCAACAGAATTGAAGTTTATATTCTGCAATGAGCAAATTTTAGTTCTTGTCACCCCAATGTTTCTTAATGATTATTCTTTTGCAGAGATGTCATTGCCTGCATTACCATCATTTGAGAAACAGAAAAGTATTGGTATGTAGCAGTCTTTGCTATTCCTATCTAATTTCTCTCTCTGCTTTTGCTCCACTGCCTTCTATCTTGTTAAAGGTGTTTTTCAACAAAGTTTAGCATAGTAATATACATTCATTCAATTCTGAACTTGAAGACTAGCAGATTCTGGATTTTTTCTAAAATAAATAAATAAATAAATGAAGTACATGAATTAGAGGGCCATGCCTTTCCGAAAGGATAAATAAGAAATAAGATGAAATTGGTAATAGTTGGGTTATCATATATTTCTCCTGAACTTCAAACAGCAACATAGAAAAGAAACATGTGTGTTTCTTTTTTTTTATCCAAAAGAGGGAGCTTGTGTTATTCTAGACATCAAAGAGGTCATTATTGTTTGATAGCTAATTCAACAAAAATTTCTATACAATTTAGAATTCAGATCTGATTTCTTTACAGTCAATGTTTTATATATTTCTCATAAGTGTTGATTGTGTATTGCATTTTTTTTATGAAGCCTGTTGATCTTAAAATCAATATTCTTTGTATTTGATGCAGACTGTCGCGCATGCGCACTGGAAGTATTGTACTCATTTTTTCGTCTTTTTGTTTTCAGTATGTTATACTTAAGTGAGCTGTTATTTTAGTTTAAGGGTTGAGGTGGGTTTGAAAATGGATTTGGCCTCCGTTTTTTTTTTCTTTTTTTCTTTTTTTCTTTTTTCTTTTTTAATGGGAATAGAGGGATCTTTTTGGTGATTGAGGGACAGGAACGTACCAATCCATCATGTATAGTGGTCATTTGTTTTTCCTTTTGCCAATCCATTGTTTATGTTGCCTTTTCCCTTCCTTTCCTCCTCCTCACCGGTCCTTGCAATCGTAAAAACTAATCTTAGAAGCTCTTTTTAAAACTTTGCTATAGGATTTAAGTAATCTCTTTTTAATAAAAGTAAGAGTATTTTTAGTCGCAGTTTAACATCAAAATGAATTAATGTATAATCTAAATATTTAAAAAAAAAAAGCCCAAAAACAAAACCAAATATTTTGTTGTATTTTACCATCGACTACATAATTTTTGGGACGTTGCTATATTCTCCCATTGATCACATAAACCACAAAAAATTGTGCAATGAGGCCTGGCGATTGCCAAAAAATATAGGCAAAAAGGCCCCTAAACTTTTTTCAACAATAAGTGACAGCCCCTGAATTGAAAAATGAGCGAATAACCCCTCAAACCCACGAAGGAAGCAAATTAACCCCCTTGCTAACGGCCTTCCGTGACTACGTTTGTTAAATGGCTTAGGTGGCATGGCTTTTACACGTGCATCTCATGTGTTTTTAAAAGAATAAATAAAATCTCAATTTTGAACCTTGAATTTGAGTGGGAAAAAATTATGAGAAAAGAGAGTTATCATTATTGTATAAGCCATTCATAAGAACAAAAAAAATAAAAAATTAGGGGTTCTTACCCAACCACAGATGCTGATGGTCCTCCAACACCGTTCTTGCCAAAACCACCGTCAGTTTTGGAATCTCACCCACTACAAACTCCATCTCCGCCGAGGAGTTTGTGGAGGCAATTAGATCACCAAGACAATGACACGATCGTGCTTAGAAGCTGTAATTGCACCAAACCGGAAGTCTCTCTTCAGTCCGCGCTTGCACTCCGGGATGACCTGCAAAGCCCCGAGGTGAAACTCGGGGTAGACACTCCGATGTTTAAGTCAACAATAATCGGGGCTACCTTTAGGGCGGAGATAAAAAGAGCTTAGGGTTGGTTTCAATTACCTTTTGACATGGCCCAGAGGGGGTATTTATAGGATCCAATGAGGAACCCACGTGGCATGCCAAGCAAGATAATCGGAGCCTGATGTGTCTATCCAGACGATTATTCCGGGACCGGGAATTTGAGAGGTATTCAGATGCACGGGTGTCCACCATACCTGCTGTGCTACTCATCATAAGGAATTAGGTGCGGACATGCTTATTGTCATTATCATGCAGCTATTTGAGCGGGAAGCTCTGGATTCATTCCTCACTTCGGTCATAAAGGAATTACTGTAGCAGTCCGAGGCTTGGCACCTCGGACTTGTCCTTACACTATTCCCCCCCGAAGTCATTCACTTGTGAATGATGTTGCTGGGGATAATGAGGGGATTGTGTGAACAAGGAGAACACGGATAAGTCATGGAAGTATAAGGAAAAAAATTGGTAACGTAAATGTAGTCATAGCCGTAGCTAATAATGAAGTATGTAACAGTGGGTCATAATAAGAAATGATGACTAGAGTTATAGAGGCCAAGGCCGTGATGGAAAATGATGACCGGAGTCATATTGGCCGGAGCCGTAATAAAATATGATGACCGGAGTCATAATGGCCGGAGCCGTAATAAAATATGATGACCGGAGTCATAATGGCCGGAGCCGTTGACGTGGTCACAGTAACCAGGACCGAAGTAAAACATGTGTTTCTATGGCCGGAGCCGAAGTAAAACACTATGCTAGTTAAAAAGTGCAATTGTAGAAGTAAACAGAAGTGCTGAGCTAGGTTTAAGTATAAGACGGAAGTCAAAATGGCCAGGGCCATAATAAAATATAATGACCGAGGACATAATGGCCGTATCCGAAATAAAATGTATGACATTGGATTACTGTGGCCGAAGCCGATGTGAAATGTAATGCATGATTATTGTGGTCGGAGCCGAGATGAAACACTTGCACAATTGAGAATATACAAAAGGGAACGAAGATGTTGAAATGGGCGTAGGTGGGCCTATGTAAAAGTACTGACATAGGTGTGACAGTTGTCCTTGGAATGATGTGCGCAATAAATGCGGCCGTAAAAAGGTGACTGCTGCAGCTAAACAGGCAAAAATTAAAAAACGAACCGTCAAATTCAAAATAGTACCGTTTGGGGTTGGCCGTCGAATTCTAAACGGTGCGAATAGGAACCCTAAGATTAAATGGATCTCAGCCGTTTAGGTCTAATTTTGCCCAGAAGTATAAATAGGCATTTTTTCTGCAGAAAAAAGTTTACTTGCATTTCTTTTCCTACAAAACTTCTGCAAGAAGCTTTACTGTGCATTTCCTATTCGTGAACTGCGGTATCAACTGGGGATCCCTACATCAAGTCTTTCGAAATCGAAATCAGGTAATGTACACGAACTTCTGATTTTAAGATAATCCAAGTGTCACTCTCCTTTCTCCCTTTCTGTGATTGATTTAGAGTCCTTTGAAGGAAGTTAGGGTTAGAGGCGAGAAGGATTTTGAATGTTCAACAACAAAAAAGGGGGTTTTTTTTTTTAAAAAAAGATCCTGACTTATTCCTCCCCCCTACTTCGTGCAGAGTTTGAGAAAATGTCGTCAGAAAGAACACAAAGTATAGTAGGCAGTGAGGTGATGCCCCTGAACTATGGGAGCATGGACTCAGAGAGTAGTCCATCTCCAACTAGTTCGGAGAAAACGGTGGAGGGGGCGAGAGGAGATGAGGTGGTGGAGGTTGGGGGGAATGAGGTGGCAGAGGTTGGGAGGAATGAGGTGATGGGGGTTGGGGTAGATAGCATACCCATCACCGTAGTAGAAGTAGAGGGTAGAGGAGAGAGGGATTATGATGTGAATGCAGAGGTAGTGGATGAGGTGAAACAGTACAGATCTGAACTAAGGACCAGGGATAGCCTGGGTCACTTAGTAGAAAATTACGATATCTCATCTCGAGTGTTAGTTAGGCCAGCTGGGGTAGAGGAGAGGGCGTGCTCTGCTCCTCGGGATCACTGGATGCCTGTGTATTCCCACTATTTGATAGCGGGACTCAGGTTTCCACTTCTTGAGTTGCTAGTGGGGTTACTGTTAGATTACAACATAGGGTTGACACAATTGGTCCCCAACGCAATGAGGGTAATAATAGGTTTTTTAGTTTATTGCCGAGCTCAGGGGATAAGCGTGCCAACTGTAAATATGTTTAAGTATTTTTTTGTTTTAAAGGGGGGTAGTAGGAGAGATAAGGAGTGGTATTATTTCACCCCTAGGGTAGTTAATAAAGAGAGTAGGTCATTGTTTACAGCGGGTCCTTCATCCATTAAGGGATGGAAGGAAAAATTCTTCTTTGTAGATGATACGGAGTGGGGGAAAGGGGATGCCGAGGTGAGGGAGTTAGCCTCCTGGAAGGCCAAAAAGGCTAACCAGAATATGTTTAGCTTAAATGAGGATGAGGAAGAAGAAGTGGGGAGGTTGGTGAGGGAGAGGGGGAATTTATTAAACATTTTGGACCTCACTAGCGCACAATGCATAGAAGCTGCTGAGCTCTATGGGCCAAGCGCTTTGAGTGAAGGTTGGTTTAGTTCTGTATTGTAGTACTGAATGTAGAATATAAAACTGTTATTAATATTGTGTTTTCTCTCTTTGCAGCTGAGATGGACCAGTTTCTGAACACTGCTAGAGGAGCGGCCATCCCCAAGAAGCCAAGGAAGAAGTCAAGGACTTCAACCAAACAAGTGGATGAGGGGAGGGCCAGGAAAGAGGTAGGGCCTACGGCTTCAGTTGAGACGGAGGAGGAGGTGCCACAGCTGAAGAGGAAGGGCTGGGAGGAGAGGAGGGCACTGCAGAAGAAGCAGAAGGTGGTGGAGGAGGAGAGGGGGAATGAGGTGCCTCTGTTCGTGCCTCAACCTCCTCTTGTTGAGCTGGACCCTGAGCTCAGACAGTTGGAGGAGGGGGCTGAGGTACGAGCTCCTGGTAAGGGAAAGGGCCCTATTCCCCCACTGGGGCCTCAGAGCAGCCTGTTCGAGGCGAAGAACATAACGGGGGCTAGGTGGTCTATCAACAACACCTTCCCCGAAGTGGACCAAAGCAACGCGCGGGAGGAAGCTCTGAGGTATGGTGGAGCGTCCGTGGTGAAGCACGTTCTAGAGGTATGTTAAAGTATTAATGTTGTGTAATTAATCTGTGGCATCTTCTCTTCTTTCTCTCTTAACCTCGGTTTTGATTTGCAGAGCGCGAGCTGGGTGAATGGTCTAGCCCAGGAATTCAGGGAGAGCCTGAAGGATCGCGCACTCTTGCAACGGCAGCGAGACCAGCTGCAGAAGGAGAAGGAAGAGTTGGAGAAGAAAAATAAGGAGCTGCAAGAGTCGTTGAACGAGGTGGTTCCAACTGTGAAGTAGTTGGAGCAGGAGAGGTCTTCCCTGAGCACCAAACTCGCTTTTGAGGAGAGCAAACGAAGGATCGCTGAAAGCGAGCGTGAGGCTCAGGCGCAAGAAATGAAGCTGATGACAGAGGCGTTCAAGGAGTTGAAGGGGAACATGCAGAAGTTGGTGCATAATGGGATGAAGGAGCACATCAGCAACTTCATCAGTTCCAGCTCGTTTGATAGCATCGTCAACCTATACCGGCTGCCCACTGCCATCATTGCTTTCACAGACTGCAGAAAGAAGGTGAAGGTTGCATATCCCGAAGTGGATGTGACAAAGATCACCTTCGGTGAGCAAGAAGGAGGAGTGGAGGAGGATGGCGAGAGCATGTCAGCAGACTTCCGTCCTCAGATTAAGCTGAGGTGGGAGGATGATGTAAACGGTCTTGCTATTTTTCCTCCGCAGTTTGACTTCGAATTCGTTGCAATGGAAGAAGAAGGGGCAGAGGTAGGGGAGGACGAGATGGAGGCAGGAGTGGGGGGAACTGAAGTGGGTGAGGTCCAACTAGTTCCAGAAGTGGAGATTCATCCAGTTCCTTCTGACGATGAGCAGCCTCCTCTGCCGGACGAGCAGCAGCCAACTCAGCCACCTCCTCCAGCTGAGCAGTAGTCAGTGGAGCCACCTCTCCCATCAGGGAAATAATTTTGTTTTTTGATTTTTTGTAAAGACAGTTAAACAGTTTGTAATATTTATGTTATTGTGAATGAAAGTTTATTTTTGAAATAACTTGTGTATTTGTGTTTGTCTTTTTGTTGATAGAGGAACTGAGACAACTTTAAAAAGGAAAGTTAATAAAAAGAAGTTAATCACTTCAGAAACAAACTCCAGAGAGGTGACATCTATTAACAGAAGTGAATTAATAACAAGTAGATCATTGTAAATGAATTGAGAAGAGATAAAGCACTTCAAATGTGAAGGGACTTTTATTAACAGAAGTGAGTTTCAAGGAATGAACTGATTGACCTCAGATACATAGAATAAGAGGTAAAATGAATCTCCACAAACACGAAGTGAGAAGCGTAAAGAATAGTAAGACATAGATCACTTGAAAGAATTTTATTAGGGGTAAAATTTCTTCAAGTTATTCACATTCCAAACTCTAGGAACTCTCTTTCCTTCAGCGTCTTGGAGGACGTAGGCACCAGGATGTGGCACCTCGGCCACGGCGTAAGGGCCTTCCCAATTCGGGGCGAGTTTGCCAAAACGAGTTTCAAACCCCGTTAGGCCAGCTTTCTGAGAACAAGGTCTCCTACTTTGAATGTTCGAGGGCGGACCCGTTTATTGTAGAAGTTGGCTAGTTTTTGCTTGTATACAAGAGTTCGAAGCCGAGCTTCTTCCCTGACTTCAGCAAGCAGATCAAGGTTTTCCCGAAGTAGTTGTCCATTTCGTTCTTCATCGAAATGGGTGACCCAGAAGCTTGGGACTCCTATCTCAACAGGAATGACTGCTTCGGTACCAAAGGCCAAGTGGTAGGGTGTTTCACCTATTTCAATTAATTATAACTTTAGAATGTGCTTTATGCGTTATGCATATTTGCTTTAAGGTAAGGCGTAACAGAAAAAGTAAAATAATATAGGAATTAGCCAAATAGACTCGATTTAATGTAGTACCTGTGGCACTTCGGCTCGTGGTTCTGTATGCCCAAAGGACGTTGTTGAGCTCGTCTGCCCACTTGGCCTTATGCTGTTCCAATCTCGGCCTTATACCTTCCAAAATGCATTTGTTAACAGATTCAACCATGCCATTGGACTCCGGATGATAAACAGAGGTGAACTGTAACTTGATCCCATAACTGGAGCAGAAATCTCGAAATGAGGAGCAATTGAATTGAGTTCCATTATCGACCACAATCTAATTCGGGATCCCATATCTGCAGATGATCGAGCTGAAAACAAAATCTTCGACCTTCTTGGAAGTAAGACTAGATAAAGGCCGAGCTTCAACCCACTTTGTAAAATAATCCACACCAACGACCAGATGGTTTACACCACCAACCCCTTTCACGAATGGGCCTGAAAGATCCAATCCCCACTAAGCAAATGGCCACGGTGCTACCATGTTCGTGAGCTCTTCTGCTGGTTGGTGAGTCAGATGTGCGAAGAATTGACATTTCGGGCATTTCTGAACAAAGTAAGTGGCATCTTTGTACATGTTTGGCCAGTAATATCCTTGCCTTAAGACTTTGTGAGCCAGAGTCCTAGCACCTACATGGCTCCCACAGACACCTGCATGCATCTCTCGAAGTGCATATTCAGTTTCATATGGGTTTAAACACCGTAGAAGAGGAAGTGAGAAAGATCTCTTATACAGGACCCCATCAACGAGTGTATACCGAGATGCTTTCTTCCTCAATTTCATTGCCTCCTGCCTGTCCTCAGGTATGATCCCATCTCGTAAAAAGGAGACAATCGAATCAGTCCAGCTCGGCGTGTCAGGGTTTGTGCTAATCTCCATCACCCGAGGCTTCGTGAAGCTTGGTTCATCTAAGACCTCTACAAAAACGGATCTGGAACTTAAAGAGCTATCAGAGGCAAACTTGGATAGTGAATCTGCTTGTTCGTTCTCAGCTCGGGGGATTTTACTCAGACAGAATTTCTGGAATTTGCACTTCAGCTCGGCCACCAAGGCTACATACTTTGTCATCACCGGATCAACCACTTCGCAGATAGAGTTGATTTGGTTCACCACCAGCTGGGAGTCACTGTACACTTGAATTGCACTGATTTTCAACTCTAATGCTAGTTGTAGACCAAGTAGCAGAGCTTCATACTCAGCCATATTATTTGTCGCATCAAAGTTGAACTTTAGGGCATGTTTGCTTCGGTATCCTTCTAGACCGATCAAGAGAGCGCCAGCCCCTGAACCCTTGCTACTAGATGCTCCGTCAACATATAAGGTCCATTCGTTGGGTTCTGGAGTAGAGGTTGAGGGACATGGAGTGCATTCGACAATAAAATCTGCTAATGCTTGAGCTCGGATTGCGGATCTCTGCTGAAATGTTATCTCAAACTCTCCCA